CGCGTGCAGCACACACCATGTGACGGACGACCAAATGCACCACCATTGTGGTTCCTTATCGCACAGGGCCCAGTCCCCCGCTCTCGGACACCCTTATTGCTCACATTGTATCTGCTTCTTCGCCCATTGGGTGGGGTTTGCCAGGGGATGGGGGTGGGTGCACCACATGTGGCGCTCTTATCGCTCCCTCCGGAAACAGACACCTCACCTTCTGTAGGAAACCCAGCATGCCGTCGTTTCCTGACATGAATTCCTCATTAAATGAGCTCATGGATGTTTGTGTCAATTTACCATTGATGCTTCCTCTAAAAGCATGTTGCCTGGCAACCAACGCAGACATGCTTAATAATGATTCCCCGTCAGTGTATAGGTAATGCTGTCGATATCACAGACAAACATTGGAAGTTGAATTTCTAACCTGCTGTACTCCAGCATGTCCGTCCTCCTGTTTCTCCACTTACCTTCCAACTGCTCCCCTTTATACCCAGCATCTTTTATTCCACAGCATCTCTCCCCCCCCCCGCTGGGGTTTACTGCTCCCCGCAGTTCCACACCACTCTACTCTTTTATTCATGCTTGGCGTCATCCTCTTGTTTTCCTCCATTGCCGAAGACTCAGATCTCTAGTCCTCCTTTTTTCCCTGCTTGCAAGGAGGTGCTAATGGGTCACAGACCAGCCGTGACCCGGTCTGCTGCGTGCTTCAAAACACTTTTAATCCCTGTAAACAATCCAGGGCTCCACTGAGATGAAAAAAGACCTCGGTGTTTTAAAGAACATTGATATTATCCCGCCTGTGTCGGGTCAGACGAGGATAAACTACAGAGAACAAAAAAACAAACCACATCCTCTCTCGATTTATTTGACTGAACTTGAAAATAGCAATTAAAAGCCTGATCCATTTTTCTCTGAGACAACAGCACAACAGCAGAGAGGGGTAAACTATGAAGAATGTGAACAGATGTAAAGATGGCTATCACATGAAGAAATGTGCTCGTGAAACTATTTTTGCCCATGGGTGACAGTGCTGCTGACTTGTCCTAAAGCATGCTGTGACTCTTGCAAAGGTCTTAGCTGAACAGCTGTTCAAAAGTTCCATAAAGTGCAATGTTAAAAACCAAAGTGTTATATTTCACACTCGCATGGTAGCACTTCATGCTCTGAGGGCTTAAAACATACCCTGCCGTCATTTTGGATGGGCAACAGTGCTGCTGGGTCCTTGACCTTAATGCTCCAGTGTAGCATGTGGCTCACAAAGCTCCCACGGGACCTTTCATACGGGGTTCAAGTACGTGTTTTTCCTGTTTTATGCAGGCCCCGAACCAAATAATTGTACTTAAAGCTGCTGCTGCTTCTGTTGCCTTTCTGAATCTGACATAATGTCAACATTAAAATGTGAGTTTTGTTCCAGAGTGCCAACGCGTAATACAAATTAAATGACGCAGGTTTTCCAAGTTCACGATGCAACACGTGGTTAACCTTGCAATTAGGGTTAGTTAACAAAACTAGTTTGTTATGTAAGCGAGGAAAGTAAGATGACTCCTTGAGGTGTCGTCACGTGACATGATTTAGTGACATTTGGTTTCACACGGGAAGTGAACACAAGATCAACAAGATTCAGGCCTCCTTAGCTCTTTTCCCATGACATGCTAAGCTTTCATACAGAAGTCAAAGGTTTTCTTTCAATAACGTAAGACATAGGGACTTCTTCTGAGAGAATGTTACCAGGATCTCACGATGTCGCAGGTTTTTCTATGCCCTCCTTTTAAGTCCACAGGAGCTTTAGTCTGTGCTTAAGGGCTCTGATGTGAACTTTGGGAGCCTTTGTGCGGATTGGTCCTGCCTGCAAACCTGCCAAAGAAATGGATCATATGTTACATCTGTAGTTACGCCAATGAATCACATTACCGTTGTGCATACAGGTTTTTTCATTAATAAGAGTTAAAAGTGTTTTTATTATACTTAGTAGGAAACTAGAAGTGACAGAGACATGATGCATTTTCCCTCCGTTTGTGTACATAAGCCCATGCATCATCCTGCCCTTTAAAGGTCAGCCGTAAACATACTGTATACTTTAAACTCTGAGTGCTGCAGCTGAGTGGAAAGTTTGGAGGGCCTCAAACGCTCTCGACACAGAAAAGTAATGTCTGAGAGAAAGCACAACGGGATTCTACCTCTCGGGGGTGCAAAGAAAGGTTTCCTCTTTCATTGGTTTTACCAAATGGAGCTAAAACTTCATCTGCAATTCACAACATGACCAATACGCATTAGCATGAGTAAGAAAACCTTGCAACCAATCAGTGAAGCTCCTTCTTCCTGTCAATCGTACGAAAGTAATATATTGTGTGGACTCCAATAAGTACGATTTCTAATGGAGCAGGAACGTTGTTTACCAAACGTGGCAGGTTTAATTACTGCCCCTGCAACTTCCTGTGCGATCGACAACACACAAGTTATGTAATCACAAATGATCCAATTCCATTTAGAAACACCTCAGGACTCCGGGGATTGCCTCTCTTAAGCAGTGTGAAAGCCGCACGATCAGCGGGACCCTCTAAAACCGGGGGCTGCCCCCACATCCTCCTCCGGGACGCTGGTGTTTACCGCCCGCAGTGGCTGGAAATTAATTGGCCGCTGTACATTCACCCTGACAGTGCGATGGCCTCCCCTCATTGCCCTGTCACTTTAAGTCGAAGTGTATTAATGGACTGTGTGGACCATTGATTCCTAATTCCTCTCGACGTTGACATCGGGGACAAATATTGCGTGGCGCTGGCTTCTTCAGGCTTATTGTAATCAGCATTGTTATTGATCGCCTGCCCGAACCCCCTAGAAGTAATCTATTTTAAATACTCTTTCAGCAAACTGCGAGGTGTTTGGGGCCTTGCTCTGACATTTTATCTAGGCCAAGAAAGAAATGGAATAAGTTGAGGGAGAGTGCCTGCACTGGTACAAATAAGAAAAAGAGTGAAAGACAACGCAAAAGGAATGACAGATAAAGATATTGCGAGACTTCGCTCTGTGAAATATGTCTTTCTTTGGAGTAGGGGGTGGTCTCTGGGTGGTCTCAGTCTCCGTGTGTGTCTGTCTCCAAGAGGCCAGCGGATGATGGATGATGGCGCCAAACGTCGGCGCTATCGATTTATTCGAGACGAGGAAGAGGAGGAGGAGGTGGAGCATTTCAACACAATGTGCCTCGCTATGTGCCCACACACACTCTGATATTTATTTATATATGAAAAGTATTTTCACCGTGTGGTAAATGGACAATGATTCGGAGGCGCGGACCTTGGTTGAAATCTTTTCGCCGTCTGCCTTCCTCCTCTCTGTGTGCTTTTATTGATCGTCTTGAAAAAATGGCATCCACTTGTTTAACATCCAGTCTGATACACTTCAGTTGGTCCAACCTTGCCTGCTCATCCGGCAGTTGTGGAAAGCTATGAGCACAAAAGACGGAGGTGAGCGTGTGTCAGTGCCCATGAAGGCATGATGAAAGCACTTTGGTGAGAAAAAAAGAAGCCATGTGTGTTTGCAGCTAAACCTTTGTCTCGCATGGCTGCAAATGGGTTTTTATGCGACTGTGAAACAGACCTTGCTCCGTCCAGCCCATTGAGCAACAAATTAAGGCTGCAGAGCAAAGTAGCCATTCTCTCCGCTCAAGGCTTTGTTGTTTTTCCCCCCGTCGCTCGCCTTGCTCACGGGGTGTTCATAATCAACGTTAACAAATTGGAAGGACATCTATTGTTCCACCTGCCCAGCTGTCTTGAAAATGCCCCTCCATTATCGAGGACACGGAGGCGGCATGTCAGAAACACAATCTCTGCTATGACGGAACAAGATTACACCGTAGTTGGACATGTTACGAGGAGTAGAGATTGATGTTACACACTGAGAGACACACTGAGAGACACACTGAGACACGGACAGTCTCTGTTTGATCTGTGGTTTTACAAGCTGCTCTGTCCAGATACTGCAGGGAGAAAGATGTCCTTTCACCTGCATTAATATTTCACTATATCACTTTAATATCTGGTGTTGGCAGCTTTTCAAATATATCTTTCAGCATGCAGGAATCAGGAGGCATTGTAGAAATCTGTTCACACTATAATCTACTTACAGCACGGAATAATGTTAGTTTTACATATTTCAGTCGTTCTTTTCACATTGATCGTAACACATTGCAGAAGGATTTATAAACTGAAATATCATACTGCATTGTTTGCAAGGATTATTTATGATTGTAATTGTTTTCATGCATACGTTCATATTAATTGCACTTCAAATGTATTATTATACTAATTAAGTATAAAATGTATGCAATAGGAGCAAACACAAAATAGGTTGAATTTGTCATTTCTAATCACATTATAATGCATAACAGTGATTATAATGCAATATAAAGAGATAACAACTATGGGAATGTTAAAAGTAGAGTAAGATCCTTTCAAAAGCCAAGTATGGAAGTATTATGATTTTGACCCAATAAGGTTCTATCATTTGTGTTGATGGTTACAAAGCACTTTGAATATGTATGTGTGTCTATGACTATAACCATGCAGTTCTATAGCAGATCTAAACTCACGAGTATGTTATGTGTCATAGAAAGTGTTATCACATATCTAATAAGGACTTGTCTGCCACTGGATCCTCTGCATGTTGACGTTTTGTCAGATTTCTGCCTCTCAATTTTTTTTTTCTGTTCTCTTCTTTCGAGCTGTGACTCAAGAGTTTCACATGTCAAAAGTTTGAATTTCTGACATCTCTGCCGTGCCATGGAAGCTGCCTAACATTCTCTGTATCATTTATGGGGTACGATAACGATGAAAGATGGAATCTAAATGTCCGCGTGGGCGTGCGGTTAATGATGATGACAGTTATGACAATAATTTGACGTTAGGGCTGACATTTAGCGCATCGACGATCTCAGACCGGGATATGAAATGATAGATGGCCTCATGAGAAGATTTATAGTCCCCCTCACCTTTTCTGCTTCCCTCTCTCAGGGGATGATGTACCTGGAGGAGAGGAGGCTGGTCCACAGAGACCTGGCAGCCCGCAATGTGCTGGTGAAGTCGCCCAATCACATCAAGATCACCGACTTCGGCCTGGCGCGGCTGCTGGACGCCGACGAGAAGGAGTACAACGCAGACGGGGGCAAGGTTGGTGTAAGTGGAGGCGTGAGCATGCCCTGTGTGTGTGTGTGTGTGTGTGTGTGTGTGTGTGTGTGTGTGTGTGTGTGTGTGCGCGTGCATACAGTACAGTACTGTTTACCAGTGCTGGTGACCAGGGAGGTTTTTTTAAGTGCTAAGTATATACAAAGTATTAAAACTATATATTGCGGTCCTTTTGTTAAGATACAGACAATTTCTTTGCATAAGCAGTTGAATATAATTTGTAATTTCAAGATGCAAAGATAAGCACATTTCCCATTACATTTTTATTTTTACTTTTTAATTAAATGTAATAGTTTGCCTTAGAGAGGCACACATTAAAAACACAATATGTGTTTTTTCTTTAATCTTAGATCCAACTACTCAAATCATTATTTTAGCAGAAGCAGTACCTACACGATGTATCTTTTATATTCATACTCTTATTTCCATTCTTATCATAATGTTAATTGTTCACTGCACAGAGCTTTAAGAGTATGTCTGGGACAGCTAAATGAACACAAATTCAATTCTTGGCAGGCATTTCTCACCTGACCTTAAGCATAGAGATAGCTCTAAAAATGCTCAGTAAACAGTCCCCTCTAACACTTTAATACAACCATTAACACAATATATGTATCATTTATATATAATGTCTAATTGCAAAAACTAAGTATTAATTTGAAATACGCTGTTGTCTACCAAGTATAAATGGAGAAATGAAGAAAAACATATGTATTTTCCTATTTCCCATTGGGTGTTTTCAACCTAGATATCTTAATTACCAAAAAAGAAACAAATGCATTTAACGTGTCACTGAGCAAAATGTTTACCAAGCAGTGAAACTCTTTTGGTCGAGCAAAGCCTGCTGAACTCTCCCTAATAAAGCTCTTAGAAACACTCCATCCAAACAAATAACATCGCCACACTTTCCAATCAGTTTGTTTTGTTTGGGGACCGAGACGACATTAATCAGAAGCCCCTTCTTGTTCCCTCGCTCGAGACTTGCTTTGCAAATTGTCCTGATCAACTCCCTTTATTAAATTGGCTTGTTCATTTGCTGCATCTATCGAGCCGGTGGTAGTTGAATTTGAAGCGAGTGAAACATATTTAATAAATGAAAAAGGGTGGGAGATGTTGCAACACAAAGCATTTCCTTCCCCCTCTTCCTGATCGTTTTCCCTGAAGAGAAGACACGTCGAAGGCGGGGCTTTATTCTAAATGACCCATCGTGAGCATGTGTGTGCAAAAGCCCAGATAATTGCCTTGTTCAGCGGGCTCTACAGCTGGAGATCCCCTCCCTCCAGTCAATATGGAGATCATATGTTGGTTAGGATATGGCGATGCGTGCCACTGCCCATGTGAGGAATGTCAAAGGGCTCGTTTTATTACTATTTCCCACACCGTGGAGATAATGTGAGGCCAATACAAAAAAAAGTACGCCCACTATTGATGATCCCAGGGTTGGACTGGAGCGAATCAATCACAGTGCTTGAGTATTATCGAACAAAGGAAAATGTGCTTGTCGATTTTCCGATATCTCACAAACGCTAGATTAAAAGATAGGTCAGCTGTTGAGCCGAATATTGGAAATAATGGAAGGTGTGATTTTCTGTCTTTTTCAATATTAAAATGTTTGTGTCTGTATTTCTCTCTCCTCAGATGCCCATTAAATGGATGGCTCTGGAATGCATCCACTACAGGAAGTTCACCCATCAGAGTGACGTGTGGAGTTATGGTGGGTCCTTGTTGTGTCATCGTTTTCTTAATTTCCATTTTGCCCCGTTTTCTTTCTTCTAATATCGTTTCTCCATCTTTCTTGTTTTCCTGTTTCCTTTCCCCGACGTCCTCCAGGAGTGACCATCTGGGAGCTGATGACATTCGGAGGCAAACCGTACGACGGCATCCCCACGAGAGAAATCCCCGACATCCTGGAGAAAGGGGAGCGTCTGCCGCAGCCGCCCATTTGCACCATAGATGTCTACATGGTCATGGTGAAATGTGAGGAAACGCACACTACATAATAACGGATACAGACACTCACAAACAAGATGCAATATGACAGAGAGGTATCAATCTTTTCAATCTAACTCACTGCAAGAAAGAAAATGGTACTATTTCTTCAAGGAGAGACACTCTATCAACTATCAATTTTGAGGGTTGGGCTATTTTGACATAAAAAAGTGAAAATAGTGGACAGGGAAATTGCGCCATTTGCTCGGACCCAGCCCATTCTCAATCTCAACTTATATTTAGAGCTCATTTTGCCATGATGACAAGCTCACAAGCTAAGATTCTCACAGTTCAGTCCCAATTCAAATTCTGTCTCTATCATAAGCAGTTACAAAGTTATTTCATGTTTTTTATTAACAAATCTAGTTTGGCATAGATGAGGGGTTTTCAAAGTGTGGGAAGGTGAGCCTCCCCTCAGAGAACATTATTGTTGTTGCAATAATGCAGGGGTATTCAATTGCATTTCAAAGAGGCCCAGTAAGAGAACATGTCATTAAATGCTCTGTTTTCACTGTCTACCTTTCTCTCTTTTGAGCACGCCATTTGAAATAACTCCGAGTGTTTTTCCCCTCTTGTCTCGTCTCTGTGTGTGTGCTTGAATCTATCGTGCTGACTCACTGACTGCACCCATTTGATTGGCTGAGTAGCGTCACCTCCTTAAAACATTAAACAACAACCTTTTAAAACCTTTTTATCTTTATGTTTTAAACATTTTTGTTTTTACATTTTCAACATCGTGGATACATCCTTATATGCTCCCGGCAACACACTGAATGTCAATTTTGCCTCCTTATTACACTCGCCCCTACTTTAGTGGGAACAATGAGTCTGCGTCTTTGATGTGCACAGGCGGATAATGCGGGGATGTAATGTAGACAGGAATAAACGCAGATCATCCTCGAGCTGCAGCCTTGACCGGTACTTGCTTTTGAGTAAAGTTAATGCAGAAAACCCGCACTCACACAGGTAGGTGGAGGCAGGGGCGGACTGGGACAACAAATCAGCCCTGGAATCCCATCCAGCCCAGCCCACACACATTGGTAGAGCACGCTAGTGAACTGTCAACGGGGGGGGGAGCCTCGCTGCGTGGAAACGGCCCGCTGAACGGACCTCTGTCGCCTGTCAACGCAACTTAAATGATGCCGTTTAAAAACATTAAAAATAAAGGGCGGTGCCGGCCGTCAGCGAACAGAGCCGGCCGTTCTGTGATTCTCCAGAACACACAGATGGCCAGTCCGCCCCTGGGTGGAGGTGAAGGGAATGAGTACTTTTACAGCCTTTTTGGCGAGGTGGGGGAACTCGGTCTCCGCAGACAGCCAAAAAGTGTGCAAGTGACACTTTACTCGTCTTTTTCTCCTTATTTTTTTCTCAAGCTGCGCCTCCCCTGAATCTCTCTGGCGCCCCCCACCAGGGAGGCACGCCTCACACTTTGAAAACCGCTGGCATAGATGCTTTAAAGGGTTAAAGGCAATGTTTCCGAACAACACTCTAACTCAATGAGTTTTGTGGCGCACATAATCTTATTTTTAAATCATGTTTATCCACCTCTCCAACTCAGCTTTGAGGTGTCACCGATGAGTTGTAGGGTTCATATTTTTTAATATGCATCTGGTTATCTGAGCTCTGGGGCTCCCATTGGAAGGGAAGCGGGTATGTAAAGAGGAGAGAGGAGGAAACAATTCGGAAAACTGGCTGCTTTATGGTCTGCAACATCTTTGTCGGTGTCATCCTCCATCTGGACGACTGCACCTCCCCCCCAGCCGTAGCCCCCGAACTCATCCAAAAACCCACTTTTTATTCATCAGTCACAAATTCTCCCATCTTCCCCTGGCTGGATTCTGGTTCTGGTGAACATGGCTGTATAGGGATCCACCCCTCCCATATTTCCAGGAAACGCTCCAGGCGTGCGTGCCAATCCATGCTATTAGATCTGCCAGCTATCGGCTGCTTGGCTCTCCGTTTCTTCCACACTGAACCCAACTATGGTGGGGTGGATTTCAGTCACTTCCTGTCTACTGCTGGTCGACGTAAATATGGCCACACATCAACTTTATGACTTGTTTTCCCTTGTCTTTAAGTTATTTTTAATTGGACACATATTGTATCCGTTCTACTTGAAATTGAAATGAAACTTGTAAATTCTGCTGGAGCATTAGAAAATGCCAAATGTGTTGAAAGACATCGATGCGATCCAGCTTGGAGATCCATATCAAAGCCTATTCCCCTGACGGAAAAATGTTAATCCGATCCGAAATGTCATAATATCCAATTTTTCTTTTTCCAAATGAAAACAGTCATGCCAATGGCTTTTGACAGCACAGAAGCAGGCCCTGCAGCCATTTACCCTAATAACAATGCCAACTCATTCCTCCCGCAAGAGGAGAATAAATTGTATGTGCTATTTTAAATGTCTGAACAATTATGGTTCAAATGCTGAGGTTACAGGGATTCCCTTAACTTAACATGCTTTAGGGCCCCCACGTGTTCCTGATTTATTTGTAATATTCAAGCCTGGTAGCTGATATCAATCATTTTCCTTTCGCTGTAATTTTTACCCACTTCTATACAGGTTCATATTTTAAAGCACGTACACATAGGTGAAATGATTTCAAAGGGTATTTACTTAAGTACTGTGGTTAAGTACATTTTGTTTAAGTACTTGCACTTTACATTACCTGAGCATGAAAGACATTATTTTCTTAATGTCTTTCATTTTTTGTAAAGCACTTTGAATTGCCTTGTGTTGAAAGGTGCTATATAAATAAACTCGCCTTGCCTTGCCTTTTCATTTTCTTCTACTTACTTTATACGAAAAAACAACAATAATCACCTATATAATACACTGTGACCACTTTTACCTGTTCCCACTGATGTTGTACTTTTACTAAGGTAACATTTTGATTGCTTGCCTTTTAATTGTAACTTTAAAAATATATTTTGATACTATTTGGGCAAGAGAGTGCCTTTATGAGAGATACGGAGGTGAAACGGGTGGTCAGCTTTAACCACTGAGCTACCCTGCAGCCCTAACATAGTATTTTTAGACTTCAGTATTGCTACTTTCACTTTTAACTTATATTAAGTGGTCAGAGATAGCCGGTGAGTCAGACCAGCAGGAGGGTCAGGCTGGGGGGGGCCTGACGCAGAGCCAAACGGAAGCCATTGGCCGCATTAATTCTAATTACATGTTGACTGAGAGCCGTTGTTTGTGATTTGTTGCGCTGCCACACTGCCTGCCCCGCCGCCTCAGCGCCACCCCAATAAAGATGAAATACAGTTTGATTGCCGGAGTAATTGCACCTCATTTAAGGTAATGTGCCTGCGTGGGGGGGGCAAGCGGAAATCAGATGAACCGAGTGCAGACGGGCAGGTGGAATGACAACAGTGAAGGTCTGCGGTTCATTTGAGGAGAACTGATATAAGATCAAAACACCTTTTCACCGCATACATTTTAGCTTGAGATGAATTTTTGTATCCTCTCACTGTGGTTACCAGTGAAATGTAGAAAAATGAAGCAATTATATCCTGCTGGTGAGATATGATACCTCCATGTCGGGTTGCTAGAGGCTGCCAGACCCCACTTCAGCCATCACTGTTGTACAATATGTAAATCAGAAACTCAGGTTGCTTTACTGCCCAATCTGAGCCGAGACACCACCTGGCCTCTCTCCACCTGCAGCGCTTTGCTGTGTTTATTGCGGCTGTGGGAGACAAAGTAGGCTGGAGATCAAAATGAGAAACACTTAACTCGTCCAGCTTAATAACTACCTCTAAGTTGCCCTTAAGCAAGGCACTTAAAAGTTTGTTTAGGTAAACATTATGCTTGTTCCTCCACTGTTTTTTTGTATTTATCTACCAACAATTAACCAACATTTTCAATTTTTTATCGACAAATACTTTTACTGTGTGGCAGGGTCATTTTGGGACACAGATGAAATGCAGTTACAGGACTAAAAATGCAAGCTGCATTTCTAACAAAAAGTAAAATTCTTGCATTAAACTGTCTTAAAATGGCAAAAAGTGAACCATCCCATGATTCAGCCAAGTGGCGACCTTTCCCCTTTTTGTGTCAGCATTGTGGTTTTCTACCAGAAGCTATCATATATTGACTATTATAAGATACCCTTTTTGGAATTTGGTAATTTTTTAGTCCATATGCAAATCATGTATGTCTTCCACTGCTAAATAAGTGTCTTTCTCTCTCTCAGGCTGGATGATTGATGCAGACAGCAGGCCCAAGTTCAAGGAGCTGGCTGCTGAGTTCTGCAGAATGGCCAGGGACCCCCAGCGGTACCTCGTCATCCAGGTGGGTTTACCTCACTGTCAGAGCACTCAAAGGCTTTTAAAGGGACAGTAGTAATATCAGAATGAACATATTTCGATCGTCTGAGACATTTTGTGGTACTTTTTTGTGCAATATAGAATCTGTGGTACATGGTTTCTCTTTTCTACTTTTCAGGGGGATGACCGCATGAAGCTCCCCAGCCCCAATGACAGCAAGTTCTTCCAGAGCCTTCTGGATGAAGAGGACCTGAACGACCTGATGGATGCCGACGAGTATCTGGTGCCTCAAGGCTTCAGCATGCCTCCTCCGTCATACACAACCAGGCCTCGCGTCGACTCAAACAGAGTAAGCACACCAATATATATGTCAATTGCAACATTTTCGTCACCGAAAGAAATATTTTTTTCAGTTTGTTGAACCAGTTTTAAACATTTGAATATGATAACACACCAAATATCCTAACAAAACCTCTTCAAGCATAACTTATTTTTCTTTCTCTTTGAAAACAACCCCAACTCACTGTCCTCCATACGTGGTCAAGGTGGTTAAGAACTTTGAATACACTGATGATTTTCCTCCACTAATGGCCCACCTCCATCATTTCCAACCCAGCGTGTGTGGCTTAAACCTGGGCTCTTTACACACTAGCTCCCCAGGCCCCAGGTTTCATTACTCAAAGCTGCAGTAGCAAATAGCAGAAGCTCTCTTAAAATGCCACCGCCGTTTACTAATAGATAATCAGCGCAGGCTCGGGTGTTTGCTCTGCAGCGTGCACGTGTGCCGCCAGCCCAAGGCTCTGCATCTTATGCACCTTTACCCCTGTGACCCAGCAGTTTCCCTGACTAACACACCCGAAAGAAACACGCAAAGTAACCCTTCCAAGGTTTGCAATTCAAGGTCAACATCCCTATCTTGAATTGGAACTCCTTTGATTAGGCAGTCAAAAGCCCTTACATGCCCACACAGGGAATGTAAGCCATTGTTAAAATCCATCGGCTGGCTGACTTTGCCACAGGAAGTTAGTTATTCAGGTTGCGCCGCCGCAGTCCGATACAGACGCTTATCTAATCTGGGCTGATTTGATCTCACGCTCATACTTGAAAAGAGGAGCAGATAATGACTGGCTTTGAAGAAGGGATGAACAGAGAAGTTTGGAGGTGGGGGAAGTTGATTGCAATGGAGGGCAGACAGTGGGAGTAAGTGCGCGGTTATAACCTCGGGACGTTTCTTTGTTTTCCTCTGTTGTGTTTTGTAGCTCTGCTTCCTGTAATTGCTGCTGTAGCGCTAGCAGTTGGCAAGAGTGGCGAGGAGAAAGGCCTGGGTTAAACAGCCTGCGGCGATCCAGCACAGCAACACAAGAAGCCCTTTGCTTCACATGTCATGTTTTGTATTTTCTTGTGGGTTTTTTTGTTCTTTTTTGAGGTTCAGGTGTTTGTATGCAAGCTCTGCCTGGCTGCCCTTGCAGTCCCTTAAGGCTGATGACTACATTTTCAGAACTTTGTTAGAGAATGTTCCCTTCAACAGGCAGCTGCACGGGTTAAAAGTCTCACTTCCTTTGCCGCAGGTGGCATCCAGTTGGCTTAAACTCACTCCGACTTTTTGGTGTATTTTTGTGATTCAATTGAACCTTAGACATCTTTAGTTGATTTTGTTAACTGCTCGTTTATCACCAAAAAGATTGGAAGCAGAACAAGGATAACAGTATTTCTCTTCTCTATCTGCAACCCATTTTTGCCACAGAACCAGTTTGGCTATCGAGACGGGGGTCCAATCCCTGCAGAGGGCTCTGTGGCAGGGGCCCAAGCCGCCATGAACCAGGAAGCAACAGGTGGACCGGGTCCGGCCCTGGAGGACCAGCGCTGTAACGGCAGCCTGCATAAGAAGAGCCTGAGCCAGGGAGAGGACAGTGGGGGCCAGAGGTACAGCGCAGACCCCACCATCTTCTTGGGGGAGAGGGCAACAAGAGGGGACACTGATGAGGACGGATACATGACACCCATGAAGGACAAGAGCTCTTCAGGTAGGTCAAACGCAACACAAATCATTTTCCAGAGCACTTACAAACATTTAAATAGGTGTTCTGAAATAACCGTCCCTAACTTATTATAATTTCTTATAAATGTATAAAACACCATGATATAAAAGTCGCGCACACATCAACTGTGCCACACACATCAACTATGCCACACACATCAACTATGCCACACACATCAACTATGCCACACACATCAACTATGCCGCACACATCAACTATGCCACACACATCTGCGCTGTTCCATGGAGACCATTTAAACATCCTGTTTGTACTACAAATTGTTCCCCTGTTCCGTCATGTCTTTGTTCATTCACATAGTAAGTACACTCATGTAGTATATTCTGCCTGTTCATTCCATTTCACTCCATTGATTAAAATTCCTACCCAGTTTCGTTCCACGCTGTATGTCAGCTACTACAGAGTCATGTTTTGCCTTTGATCATAATTCTGTCCATCAGTTTCGCTCTCGCGCTACCGTCTTTGATTCTCGAGCAGCACCAAATATAACAAAGCCCACAGCCGAATGCATGTGATGCAATGTCAAGGAGCGGAAGAGTGGGCAAAATCAATAGGTTTCGCACCCCACTATTATAGCGCTTGGAAGCAGTGAAGAGGGGTCATTTGCTGGCATTTTCACCCCCAGCAGATGGAGTTTCCAGTGCCAAAGAACTGCTGGCATTTTGCCCGTCTGCTCCTGAGTGGCTGCCATTATCGCCATTATCATCTCCATCTTCCACCCTCATTAGAGAGTGATCTCTTTCTCGTGCTCTCTTTCAATTTCCATTGCTTATGTTTCCTTTTCTCTCTCGATTTGACTTCTGTTGATCTTGTTGTCTTAGTCTATCCTAAACTCCTTTTTTCTCTTTTTCTTTCCTACCCTCCCCTCTCCTCCTTCGATCTGTGCTACAGAGTATCTGAATCCCATTGAAGAAAACCCGTTTGTCACGCGACGTAAGAACGGCGAGATCCACGCCTTGGACAACCCCGGCTACCACAGCACGCCCAACAGCCAGCCCAAAGGAGAGGACGAGTACATCAACGAGCCGCTGTACCTCAACACCTTCCACAGCCCTGCTGATCTGGGCCTGGAAGTTCTGAGGAGAAATGGTCTGCCCCTACCCGTCCATCCCACTTGCTCTATTGCTTCTTCAGGCTCCCACCTCCCGCTTACAATCCAAACCAGCCTGCCCCACTACCCCCTCCCCACGGCCCTGCCCTCACCATCTGGCCTGCCTTGCCACCACGGCCCAGCGACCCACATCCTCCACACCCACCACACCATCAAACCCGCAGGAAATCCAGGTGGCGGTATGGTCAGCCAATCAGGAACTTCTGCCCAGGCCCAGGTGTGCCAATCTGGCGCCTTGTCCACTTCGGCCTCCATCGGGCACGGCAACCTGCCAGCCTACCAGATCCACGCCACCTCGCACCCAGCCAGCTTGCTGAAGCACGGACAGACAACAGGTAAACTCAGCGGGAAGAAGCTGAAGGTGACCTTTGACAATCCGGAATACTGGCAGCACAGCTTGCCTCCCAAATCGTCCAACCAGGCGATCCCGGAGGGTGCACAGGGCGGTTCCACCAACGCCAAGCTCTTCTACAAGCAGAACGGACATATACGGCCGGCAGTGGCTGAAAACCCTGAATACATGTCGGACTTTTCCCTGAAGTCCGGCACCGTCTTGCCGCCTCCACCCTACCGGCAGCGGAACACTGTGGTCTAAATCGTTCTATTTGGCAAACGTTCCTCAATGTGACTCTAGCCTCCAGCAACCCAGACATCCTCTCCGGTTCCACTGTCCCATACAAAGGGGAGCGGCAACAACCAGAGCCCCCAATTGTTTTCAAACAACGTGCCATCTGCTGTAGATTGTAGTGACATCCGGAGGAGGTGGACCAAACCGAGCCAAGCAGACCCAAGCACCTTCACTATATCCAATCTAGTCCATTTCTGTCCTGTAGATAGAGACTGCGCTCCATTTCAGTGAGAACGGGAAGGACAAATGACTGTCACAAAGCAGTGGACGTACTGTGTTGTCCCAGCACAATAGAACTACAGTGGCGTCAACAAAGATGGACCTGAACTCACTGCCAGCCATTGTGGAGTCAGCTTCAAGAAAGGAAGAAGTTTTATTATCTCCCCAGTACGAATGTCTGAGGATGAACAATACACTTCTATGGGTTTGTGAGATAAGCAAACAGAAAGAGCAAATACAGTCGGCTGGATGTTAAGATATCTTGTTCTGTGAATGACCTTGTAGAGTGAGGAACAATACTGAAAGGGTTGTGTCAGGACTTCCAGCTTCATGAAAGCTGATCAATCATATTCAATCGTTTTGCCCATAGGATTATACCATAAAGTTCTCGAATTCTCCATCAAATATGTGAAACTCATCTTTCTACTGTTACTGTGATACTGTGACGGCCCAGACTACAGTGATCGCTCCTTTCACGTGTCTAGTTCGACCATGGACTTGCCCGAAGATACACAGGGCAACTGCTGTTCTGTTGTTTTTGCTGTCTACTTGGAAAAGTTGTGCGAAAACAGCCTTTTTCCGAGCCAAGGGAAATAAGTGAAGAAATACACTGTAAACATTTTTATAGACACTGGTTGCAGTGTTGAGACAAGGGATTTTTATACACTGGTTTTCCCATTCTGACCAGGATGCTAACGTAGATGTGTAAAGTATGTCATGCCATGAGAGCATAGATTCCTGAATCTGCTGAATAAGACCAACCACAAAGCAGCCGAACTGAGAACGGTGATTATAGATACAGATAGTGAGAGAAGGAGCGAAAAAAGTATTGAGGGGAGGGAAAGTTCTTACAAGCGGCCTAATGAAGACCTCAAGGAATGAAAGAGACAGCACCAGCAGAGCACAGAAAACTGGACTACTTTTTGTGTGTGTTTGTGTCAGTGTGAATGGACCTAGTATGTGTGCTCACATGTTAGCTGTAGAAAAAGAGTTGCGGTCGAAGTCGGTTATAACATGGTTGACAGGTTCAGTGCTGCTGCTAACAAACCCATCACTGGTCAAACATTGAAGGTTTCCCCCATCTGCAGTCAAGTTTTAAAACTATGAAAGTCTTCAGTCCCGATTGATTTATAATTCCTATTTAAGTTCAGAGTCTTTGGATACATGAGCTTAAAGTGTTGGCATAGTTCCATATGTTGGGCGTTTACAATGGAAAAAAGTGAAATGGCACGGTAATAGAGTGGTGCAGTTATGAGTCCTAAAACCCGGAAGTGAGTCAGCATTTTACCACTACTGGTTCCCTCGTCTCAGAGCCAATGGGATTCCTCCACAGGATTTAGGAAAAGAGCTGGAAATAAGGTCTGTGGTTGACACAAATTTAAGAGACGGATCGCGTTTTGTTCTACGACATTAAATCCATCAGCAGTGACCCCACTGGTGATTTCCGAAGAGTTCACGTGTCTGAAAAACAACTAACCCTAAAGTGGCTGAATAGGACTACAGAAGTTGTGGAGGCCGTTGTACGTCATTACACCGAACACGTAAACACTCCCGCTATAAGTTTGGTTGCCCTGTTCTGCTTGAAAGCAAGTACCTGCCTCCTACAAAAGCTTCAACTCGTACAATTTTGAATACGGATCTTAATTTGGCGTGACGTTGAAGCAGCGACCCTGCTGTAGTTCGTTTATAGCATAATGTTAGCATTTTGCTTCTGGCGACTAGATTTAAGATTAGGAAATTATAAAAGTAGACACTTGTGGATATTATCCTGCTGAAAAAAACAAACAGGTTCGTTTTCCACAGACCTTATTTCGAGCTATTTTCCAAAATCCTATGGAAAAATCCCATTGCTTTTTTGTCGAGGGAACCCATGCACAGCTTACTTCCGTTCTATGCGAGAGTAGGGGTGAAAAAACATTTGCTTCTGATTACAAGCATATCTGCACCGTCACTTCTTTTGAACTCAACTTTTGACACCTTTATGGTAACCGTGCCCTAATACAACATTCTTTCTGATTTTCTCTTCCATAGACACCCAGTTCCTAATACTGCAAATGTTTTATATAAATATTACAATACCTTCATCGGTGGGCCATTGGCTCTATAAGCATTTTGATATGTATTTGACATTAGATAGAGACTTAACAGATATTTATTTCGATGAAAACAGTCAAACTTTTTATGAAGTCATCATGAAGATATCCAGACAATGATATATTGGGAAAGAAAATCAATACTATATGAACCCAATTTCTGTGGGACAGGGTAGGTAAATGTTATCTTCTTGGTTGCTGTCCAAGGTTAATAGAATAATGTTTCCACTGTAGTTTGTTGGTATGTCACCTGACACCGTATTACAATGACTTAGAGAGATTGGATTGTTTTTTTGAATACCGCATTAGTAGTGAACTGTTAGACAATGATTTTCATTCTGGATCTATTATACAGTACATTAAGTCCAGAGTGACATCACAGTATGTATCCACACTAAGGTTTACTCAACAATAGAGAACTGATCGCGCCTTTACTCTCCAGAGAATAGTTCCAGCCCTCACTAGTGATGCCTCTGCATGCAAACTGCCAGTCAATGCTGCTAAAAGCGCTGGGGTTACAGCCATTATTTCTTCCGCCAAGCCATACAGTAGACATGTGGGTGGGAAAACACCACAAAGCTTGCCAAACTACAAAGATCAAGAGGACAATTGTGTAATGATAGTTTTCCTCAGAGGGCCTCATCATCTTAGTTGAATCAATACGACAAATCTTTAGTGAGTTTTTTTAGCCATCATATGTTGGCCATGTTTAACGTCTGTGGTAGAACCCTGCCTAAGCTTTTATTTTATTTGTGTAGGATATTTATTTAGTGTATTTTAATTTTTAATGTCTGCTTCCGTGTGAAAGAGTTAGTCTGAGTAAGCTGTACATGTTTGTCCTCCCCATGGAGCACTTTGAACAAACTCGCGGGTAGAAAGAAAGGATTTCCACCCCTCGTTACTGAAAGATTCAACTTGTTTATCTGGTTTTTACCACTTCAGAAAGCTTTAGCAAAAAGTCAGAGGAAGGTGCCGGGAGTTCACGAAGAGAACGCCGTTAAGGTGGGACTGACCAGCTTCAAGAATGTCCTCGCTTTTTTTTCCCCTCTTTGCTTCAAACAGTATTTCTAATGCTGCTTTGATGATATCATGATTATTTGATGAAGGAGTATTTTGTAGTCCTAATGGAGCTCTAATTTAAGGAAATAGAGACAACATTTAATATCAATGTGAAATATTTATGCCGTGTTTGGGTTTGTTTATACATACTGAGCGATGGAAGCAGAATCTGGGTTTCAAGAAGAAGAAATGGGGGTAAAAAAGAGAAATACACGTCCTTGATTTCTGTCTTGTTTGGCCTGAATTAAACTGCAGAACTATGAGACCAGATTAGACTGAAAGACAGGCCTCACGTGTTCTCGAGAGCACTTGAAACTATCCGAGACCCTTTACTTTGAATGAAATCTTCTCAAGAGTATTGCCCCAAAAGGAAGACAAATACCTGATCTTCTTATTTTTGTCATCGGAAAGGCCTTGGTGATGTTTTTAAAAGTAACAAAATTTGTTTTGCTCTTTGTGGAAGCAATCATTTTTCCTCTCTGCCGACTAATATCTCATTTCGCCTTTGGCATTAGACTGTGTTACCTGCTGCTATTTGTCTCAGCCCATAAACACTCGTGTGGCTCATGGCAGTTCAAGAACACTCCACGGCGCTGGTGTTTTAAGACTGATCACTTTTTTTATTTAATACTGTCTACTGTTTCTTTCGAGCCACGGTGCAGAGGCATGTAGCCACGTTGTACTGGAGTGAATCCTTCTATATTTCCTCCATACAGGCTGAGTCTAATGTATAGTACAATATCACCTTGCATGGTACCCAAAGTGAGTGTTTTACTGCCTCCACCTGTGTATCTCTCCATTGACGACAGTATTATATTCAAATGGGAGAAAATACCCACATTTTTGTATGAAATTCAGTAGCACAAACTGGGGATCATTACTTCTGATATCGTCCATGGGATTTATTTTGTGTACATTACCCCTTTTAATAGTAGTTTTCCATATTATTGAGGATTTCTTCAAGGACCTTTTTGTGTTTTTACCTGCACATTATTTAACACGTTTGTCATTGCGATTCCTTCTGTCTGTGTAATTGCACAACTCATCGATTTCATGTCCCTGTGTTTTAAATTATCAGATCCGTATACATGTACAGAATCTCTGGGGTTTCCTCCGAACCTTATCTAACACACTTCAACAACAACAAAATGTGAATAGTATTTTTATACAGCACTGAAACGGACGACGTTGCGAATTTGTAAATATGGAGGCAATGCTTTGAATTTGTATGGTCTTCTCTCCTACTGCTGTTTTTCTCCCGCTTATAACAACTTGTACAGAAAGAGCCGTACATATTTGCTTTATGTAAGTGTAGCTTTTGACTAATGGGGATTTGATTTTTAAAAAGTGCTTGTTGACCCTTTTTTCTCATGTGGAAACTCTTGTGAAGCCCCTTTTTATTCCCGAGCGTTGTGGCCGTCCTCATGTAATGTTTCAGTTGTAGGTGTTTAAAAGTAGGAATGGTGGAAGAGGGGGGGGGGGTTGACATGTTTCGCTTCCCCAAGCCTGCCACATTTCATTTGTCACTCAGTAATGGGAACAAGCGAACATTACAGTATTTTCCTCTTTATCTCCCCCCCTTTATATTTCCTGTTAACCTGAAACCAGTGCTGCCAACCAACCCAGATAAACTGTGTTACCTTCTCTGGTTACTTTCCACTGGAAATACTACTGAGCCACGTGTCGTCGTCCCCCCCCCTTAAAAGGCAAAGCACAGCCCCCTTAATTTCTGATTTGTTTTGCATGCTTTTAGAGGAGACAACGTAGAGAGAAAAGCATTCGGAGTAACTCGCCGACCGTTAGCTTCCCCGTGTCCCTTTATCTCCCCGCGACTATTTCCCAGAGTTATTTGAAACCATACCCAAAGCTTTATATCATAGAAAATACCGTTCCTCATGTTTGTTACATGAATCTGTCAAAAGTATATTTTTAATTTAATATAAATAAAGATTGATTCAGTATATGTTGCCGTGGTCTGTTGGTGCTTTTTTCTGTGTGTCTTGCAGCTGGAAAACAACATCACATGCTCGGGTTGACTTGAGGTGAACTACACACACATTTGCAAGTTTTTCAAACATACTTTTTTAAATAAAAATTCCTTTGGATGGTCTGCCTATAAATACTTTATTATTTAGAGTATTTGTATCTTTTCAACAGCTTATTAGTTGAGATTGTTTGGCTTTGACTGTAGATTTCAACATATAATCTATATCTGATAATTCACACGATTGACGGCTCACAATAGGTTATTTGATCTTGAACTACTTATTTTTGGGTCAACAACATACAAAATGCAGTTTGTAAAACGCGGGTCGTATTGGGCCGAGTGCATTATGACTTTTTTAGGACTTGTCAGTGCAGACTTGGGGACTCGAAACAATTCCGAATTGTGTATTCATGAATTGTCCCATATAGAAAGCCAAACAGTTGAGTTGAAGACTTTGTTAGCTTCTGAAAAGTTACAAATACTCGAAAATAAAGTATTAATCGGCACATTATCTAAAAAAAGGGTTACCCCAAAAACTTTCAGAGAAGATTATTCCTACAGTACAGCTGTTCTGGGGTGATGATTATATATAATGTACAAAAAACATAACTTTATAATTAGTCCTATCATGCTTTCAATTCATTTAATCAGAAAATCCGATGCTTCAAGGACTGTACCCTGATAGGGATTCCGTGTGTTGCTCAAAGGCACCTCAGCAGGGGAGCTCTGGAGCCCTAAACCCAGAATCCCTTGCTCGACAAGGCATCGCTGCTGGAAATAGCGCACAAAATGAAAGCCCTGTTCGCTTCTCTAATGCTCACTCTACCAGTTTTACTAATAACATTTAACAGATGGTGTCTTTAATTAAGGCGAGAAGCTCTCCGGTTCCAGCGAGCTTATTTTGACCCCACTTTTCTTCACATCAACGTTACATAAAGTTGCACAGGAGGCGAGAATCTGCAGCGCATCACACTTTCATGCTCAAAAGGACTTGCAGATGAACACCAGCTGCATCAAAAAAGCTCCGCAGTGTCCTCGTCTGGAACGCTGTCCTCTGATAGGCTAATGTGTGGATATAGCATTTTTCTCCCGT